GGAAATAAATAAGTTTAATATCACATTGTGAAAAAGTCCAGGCAAAGCAACAACATCTCCATGGTGACACACCCTCTATCTGGAAAGTTACACAGTGCACCTTTAGACTTACTGCAAAAACATAACAGAAGAAACACACATATTTCTAGGGAACAAAATGTACTAGTGGTGTATACAGTTCACAGTCAGACTATCAAGTAAAGCAATAGAGAGTAAAAAAGGCTCTTGGTTGCTGGCCAGCTGTGTGGTGAATTACAGCTCTAAAATGAAGCTGCAGCAGACATAATTTGCTCATAACAACACAATCATTCAGTGTCCAGTGCTTCCTCCCTCACTTCACTCACACAGATTTCAAACATGCTCAAGTAATGCACTGGAAACCGGAAATGTTGTGGACCACAGTGGAATAATTAACTGCAGGGTCGTTCACCTGCCTGTCTCCCTGGAGATGTGCCTTGAATGTTCCACAGTATGGCCACAAACCTATGAATCTCCATGGAGACTTGCAAGCCAAAATACAGGTTAAATGTGTGGAGAAGTGACCAGACTCACAGTAACAATGGATTTTTTTAATATATATTTTTGTGCTATAAATAACACCTGTAGTTGAATAAATGCAAGACAGATTAGTTTAATGCTACACAGTGGCATTAACATCTCCATGGAGACAAACAGTGTGAAAAACAGACTCAACTAGAGGCTCAAATGGCCTGTATCATGGTTGAACAGGAGGACCATAGACTGTTGGTCAATACAGTAAATTAAATGGTGCCTTTATCAAAGTCTTGTTTTTTTGTTATCCTGTTAATTTATTTATGTCATGTCTATCTCACAATAAAATTGGTGTAATTGAGGTTATGATGGTTATGATGAAACCTGTAGTAAAACTTGTAATAAAATGTATTAGTTATGGTTATTTGGTAATATCAGTTCAGCCAATATCCTGGTTGGACATACAGCACAAAGTCTCATAAGTCTCATAAAGTTTGAACTTTTATTGATACAATGCTGTATTTGAGGAATAAGTAAGAGCTACATAACACATTTTATCATACGCTATTTTAGGTTTTTATCATGTACTGTTTTAGTTTTTAGGCAAATAAAGTCTGTGTTCAGTAGGGCTGGGCATCATTAAAAAGTTGAGATACGATATATTTCAAATCGATTCGATTTGGTTCAGTAAAAAATAATGGCAAAATCATGGCTGTGACATTAAAAGTCTTTGTTAAATCACTTCTTGTGCAAAGTTAAAAAGAAACACTCCCATTTTAATCAGCAGAACAGTGAAAATGTCAAATGTGTTGCATAAACGAGTTTCCTTCCTCTAAAAAAGCAACAAGACTGTAGTGCTGTAACAAAATAATTTAGTAAAATATACCAAAAAATACTCTTGGTGATATATGGATACAGCAGCCCTCAATATCAATACAGTATCATCAAATTAAACGATACAATATATCGAGATTTTGATATTTTTGCACACCCCTAGTGTTTGGTCTCTGCACTGGTATTGTTCATATTGGATTTTGAAAAATACTTAAAGCTATAGAATGAAAATTGGTATTGGAACTGAAACTTTAGCAAACTCATAGTATTTTTAAAGGTTAGGTCAAGTCAGTCCAGGTCAGACAATAACTAAAGAATCAGTCATAGTTTTATCAGAGAAAGTGTAATGACTGAGACACAGGTACAGGTGATCTGCCAATCTTGTTCTCAACAGTTAAACTAATCTGTGCTCCAGTCCTCCATCAAGCCTCATTACAACTTCAAACCCAGCCCCACTTTGTCACAGTACAGATACTATCTATGAGCGCACTCCATTACTACCATATAATTGTCCAAAAGCTTAGCAGACTGAACATTTATCCTGCAAAATTTGCCAAAACATCATCATTCATTCATGTTTGTTATCTACAGGAAATGTCAAAATTGTTCTGTAATAGTTCTTCATCACAGTTCAAAGATCCTCTCAGAAGTAGGCGGACACATGAGTTCAATCAGATACTACATTCTATACTCTCTTTATTCTTTTTTTCCAAGTTTTCTCATTAATGCTACTGGCCTCTTCCTGCCGTAGTATAGCTCGATATTCATCTATAGCTCATTAGACCCAGTATAAAGTACGTCTTTCTTCTTCTTCTCCCTTAGACAATGACATATTTCAGTACAAAGATGGTCTCGGAAATGGCTCATTGAATTATTGAAGTTCCACATCGCCCAAATCTGGTACAATGTAGTTCTATATGTTTCCCAGTAGCCCAGCAGAAAGATTTGACCTCATGATAAAGAAGCTTGTGAAACGTATGCAGCATGGAAATGTGCAGTATGAACTATATTTGTGTGACTAGAGCTATAAAATATTAAATAAAATACTGGAAAAATGTTTAATTAAAATGTGTACTGAGTAACTGTTCTGGTAGAGGGTCTGCCACCTGCTTGTCTCAATGGAAATGTTATTGCATCGATTAGAATGTCCTGTAGTATGGCATTGAACTAATAATATCCAGAGACAATTGGCACTGTCAGGCCAAATCAGTTACAGGTTACAGGTAAGTTCAGGGGAATGGCGACCCCGCTAACAGTAAGAAAGCATTTTTTCTATGTATTTTAAGAGTAGTAAAAACACCCTTTGGAAATAAATGTTAGAAAGAAAAATTTAATGCATCACTGTGGAACATGCTCAACAAAGCAATAACACCTCCATGAAGACAAGGCAGCAGCGTACCCTCCAATAGCTAAAAGTTACACAGTGCACCTTTAAACTACCCTTTATACTAACCTCAGCATGTGGCAAGACTAGGCCTGTCACAATAATTGCAATATACTTATCGTTCAGTGCATGTTAGATGGAATAATTTTTGGGGGTCAATATTAATAACGAGTACTTTTTCTTTGTACTAGGGCAGACATGTCAGACTCAGGCCCAAAGGCCAAATTTGGATCACGATATAATTATATTTGGCCCACGAGATCATATCAAATATGTACTAGAGCTGACCTGCAGGCTACAGATAGGCTATAGCGACATTATTTATTTTAAAATTGTTATTATTTTATATTGTGCTTGTTCTGCATTAAATGTTTAAGCAAAACTTTGATGAAACATTTATTTTAATAAGAAAAGGTTTAAAATTACATATCTCGAAAGAAGAGAAAACATGCAGATGTTGTTGAAATTTTTCAATAAATATTTAGTTTGGCCCAAGACTTTAGTTGACAGTTTTCAATTTTGGCCCTCTGTGAATTTGAGTTTGACACTAGGGGGAAAAGTTTTATCTTTCTGTACTTCAATGAGTTTTGAGGTGAGTTGAATTATTAACTTCTATGACTCATTATATTTACAAACTAAGTATTGTATTAGGGCTATTTTTTAAATTGTGGTTCATGCTTTTTTAACAATATTGTACATTATGAATATTTTTTGGAGGATAATTCTGCTTTATAGTTTAGTTTCACTATTATCATCTATTGTCTTTTTTTCAGCAAAATATCACACTTCAAAGTTTGTTATCATGACAGACCTATACCTCCTTGCTGAGAAGCCATCATGCCACCAAGTAATGATTTTACATTTTACACTTTACAGCATAACCTACCATGTGGCATTAAATCAATACATGCGCGTGGGGCCTGTGCACGGACGATCACGTCTGAATCAGGCAAACCCAAGTTCATTATGTGTCCATCTTTTACATTTCAAATCCACCTTCAGGGAGCAGTTACATCTGGCTCCTCTCTTTGCTGTGGTCCTTCTGGTGTAACTCAAACCACAGCTTCCCAAACAGAGCAGAATTTCCTGTCAGGCATTTTGTGATCTAATCAATGAAGACAGAAAGTGTAACCATGCACACAGATTACACAAAGCTCCAGTATTTTGCCACAGTCTCCTGCTCTGTCAGACTATTTTATCTCCTAGAGGCTAAAGAAGAGTGGAGACTTGGAGCAGCTTGTTTCTGTATCTGATTCAGACTCCAGCTGGCTCCATAATACTAAGGGCTACATCACCAGCTTTAAAAAGTTGAAATCCTCTAGTATTTTTACTTAATATTATGTTTACTTGCCCAAAATCTTGAAACTAATAGACCATTTGAGATGATGGATTTTATGCCAACACTCATTCAGAACAAAACAAAGCATTATGTATTGATTTTGTGCCATGTGGTCGGTTATGCTGTGAAGTGTACAATATAAAATTATTACTTTTCTGAAATTCTGAAGGGAATCACAGTCAAATGCACACATACACAGATAATAGGTGGTTGAAACTGGGCTGTTTGCATTGAGCTGAGGTTAATTGTTTTACTTTTGCACCCAGACTCAAATTCAAGTTTTAAAAATTCTGCAAAAAAGCCCTTCAATGCCAATGAATTTAGATTTATGTTCACACAGAAATGAAAAATAGCATTACACACGTGGTAAACTGTTTTCCCATTCAGCTGCATGTCAGTCTCTTTGTACTGATATTGTCCACTGGGCAATAATGTCACATAATATGGGTAAACCTGTCCTCATTGTTAACACTGGGGATTTCCACCATATTTAATTTGGTGAGACAGAGTGACAGAACAGACACAAGCTCAAAGCTCTGAGCCAAGCACTGTCCAGACAGAAGGATGATTAAAAACATGCAATGGTTCTGATGCTGGTGTTGAAAAGCTGCTGATGGGAAAATCCCTTTCACCTTCTCGGCCAATTTCACCTTGAGACAGAATATGAATAATATGAAGTGAAAAGAGCTCCAGCCTCCACAGCAAATGTCGTCTCATTAGAACTGTCAACATGACTTAGTAAACAGATTTGTTAGGCTTAGCATTAGGGAGCATGCTGCTCATCAAAACCACTGTGAGAGGTTGACACTTTGTCAAAGAATATAAGAAAAGTCGAAGAGGTATTTATACCAAGGCAGGTGCAAAGCGAGAAGTTAATTTGCGGCCGTGTTGTGCATGATTCACTATTACAGTCTTATTTATTTTACAAACAAAATGTTTTCCTGTAAGTACCTGCATACTCCGGGTCCACGTGAGGAGGGTAGAAGCGGAAGTTGATGAAGAAGGGGATGGGCATCCCATACTTGAACCACTCCACCACGTAGGGCTGGCCGTTGAGGGGGTGGGGAACGTCGCATCCCAGGATGACGCTCTCTCCGGCACGCGCCGTCACAAACTGGGGCTCCTCTCGCACTCCGTGGGCACCTGCAGAGGGACAGAGCTGAGTGTCCAGGGCACACCAAGGTCATCTATATCTATAGACTACTACTGTGGGAGCAGATCACGCTGCTGCTGCTGCCATAATAAGAATGCCTTTGAAAACATTGCTGAAGTACAACAAATTTACAAAACTCTACATTTTGTATATCTTCAGAAGTATTTTATGACTAGAGACCGAGATTTGGACTTTTTAGCATATTGTCCTTAAATCTCCAGCATAAGCTAATATTTTGTTTTGGTTGATTTGCTGTCTAAAACACATACACAATAACACTACAAAGAGACAAACATGACTACACAGCTATCTTAAAGGTTTGTGGTTTAAAAAAAAAAAAAAAGTAGTAAAGTTAAATTACATAATTTGGGGAAAATATTCAAAATCAGACCTACATATTGGGCCAAAAATATTGGCAGAGCTTATTGGTCAACAGTTTCCCTGGATTCTAAACAATCTGTATCGGCAAAATCCCATATTGATGAATCTTTATTTATATTCTAATAAATAAAATAAAATAATTATTCTACAATAACACTGTCAGATCACTGCCGCCAAAGCAGGCAGGTTGTGTCTGCTAAGCTCAGTCCAATAGGTTCACAAGAATGACATTTGAGATGGGTGCGATTAGAAAAGCTATAAGCTAAAAGGACTACAGAATGAACACCATAGTGAATGTTTGTGTGCGATAAGATGAACACGTGCTTAACTACAACTTCCATCACTCAGGCTGGCAAAGATCGCTTGTGGCAAATTCAATACAGCGCCAAGGCCAATGGACTGGTGAGAGAAAGATTAACGGCACTTGCGAGTAACGCAAACGTGATTCATCTTGACAGAATCTTTTTCATCTCACTTGTCTGCACCATATGTTGCCAGATAAAAACCCAAAGGAGGTCAGCATAACAGCAATGACCAGCATAACAACTTATATTACACAAAATGGACTTATGAACTTCAAGCCAAGTTATAATGTAGTTACCTCAGCAAAACCATACCTGGAGCAGAGTTTTGTTTCATTTAACGCTGCATTATCGGGCAGTCTACATCTCCAGAGTTCAAAATGATCTGTTGGCCCTAGTTATGTCATGTAGTGGTAGTTTTTAAATTAACAGCCACCCTTTATTTTTTTTGTTTTTTGGCAATTCCACAGCTGAAATCATCCAAATGATTCTAGTGAAGGTATAGGACGTTTAAAAACACAGTTGGGCATTTCCTGTATTACCACATGACATAACAAGGAGTTTAAGAGAAATAAAACACACCTCTGGGTATGTTTTTGACAAGGAAACAACATTATAACACAGATTTAAAAAGCGTACTATGGGCCCTTTAAACGCTCTTCTCAAATAACCCACTCAATCCTTCATTGACACACCATTCCTGCAGAAGCCACGGACGCTCCTTATTGATTTCAGGCTAATTACTATGTAGCGGAAACCTGGTGTGGTAGCATTTTAGCAGTCGATAGCAGCTAATCAGATGTACTCACTGCTCCTCCCTCTGCGGTTTGTCAGTGCGCGGGTATCCTGCTCTGACACAATGGCCCACCGACTGTATTCGTCTCATTAAGAGAACTGTATAGGGCCATGCATCACGATGAGAAGCCTGAGTAACAACACGCAGGGATAATTACCACCGTTAGTGAGATTTTTACACTCTGGACTCAATGGGAATATGCAATGTTTTAGTAGCACTGTAGCTATGTAGATTTGCCCTGGATTTGTTGAATTTTAGCTTGATGAGGCTGTACAATTAAAGGTTCCATATTATGCAAAAGTGACTCTTTAGAGTTTGAAGCCATATTATAATGTTGTTACCTCATAAAAACATATCTATGGTTGTGTTTGTTTCATTCACAATTGTTTTTAAACTCCATAGACTTTCACTAGAATCATTTGGATCATTTCAGCCCTGGATTTGCCCATTTCTGTTGAACAAAAACTACAGCTTCATGATATCACAAGGTGGGACAGAGCTTTTTGAGCTTTGGAGATATAGGCAGACTACTAATGCAGGATTACTCAGTGAAACAAAACAAATCTGGCTATGTTTTAGAGGAAATGACAGCCTTATGACAAATCTTAAAGCTCACAAAAGTTAATTTTGTGTAATATAGGACCCTTAAGTGTTTCTACTGTCAAGCTGAATCACAGCAAAATAAAGCAACCAAAGAAGCAAAACAATGTCTCAGTCCCATCTCCCATCACTCTAGTCCCAACACTATAATTATCAGCAGCTCTTCCATTACAATATCATTTTCAGCTTTCAAATTCACAATGAGCCAAAGCTTTTGCAAAGGCAGAAACCTCAGTAACCTTGGAATGAGGTCAAACTAACTCGATCGAAATTTTGAACTGAACAGAAGACGCTTATCTGGTAATGAGGTCTAATTGTAATTGCCAGACTGACGGAATTAAAATACTCACATTAGCAATCAACAAACATTCCTCGCCTTTTATTTATTTATTTTCTCAAACCTGACACTAACTATTTGAGAACAGTGGATTTAAAGGTGCATTATGGAAACTTTTCTGGTGCAGGTTCACCTCTTTGTCTTAATCTAGAACAAAAATCTCCAACCTGCAGCTGGTGAAGCTAACTGAAAGCACTACTCTGTTAGAAGCTCATACAATTTACACTGAGCTTTATGGTAATAGTAAATGGTATTTTTCTACATACATTTTTAATATATATATATTTTTTTACATTTTTACATAATGCATTTTCACCTTCAAGGCACTCAAGGCACTTTACAACAAGGAACCATTCACACATTCACACACCACTGTACACAGACACTGGGTGACTTGCCCAAGGATACAACACCAGCTTTCATCTGTGGGAGCTGGAATCAGATCAGCCAACCTGTGCATCAATGGATTTGACCGCTCAATGATGTTTATGTTGAGAGCAGGATTCAAACTGCCAACCTTTGGATTAGTGGATAAACACTCTAACAACTGAGCTATTGCAGTTTTAAAGGTTGTATAGAGGATTTTCCAAGGAACGAGAAATCCAGCGACTGTTTGTCCTTTTTCAAATGTTGCGCATGCGTGAAACCACCCCCCCTCCCCTACAGCTCCCTACGTAGAAACGGCTCCTCCCGCCTCCTCCCGCCTCCTCCTTACGCCAGAAACAGGTTTGTTTACAGCCGGTGCGCTGCACATGACTTGTAAACAACTAACTACAGTGTTGGTTAGGCAAGACGGAGAAGTGAGGAGCGGGGGGAGCGGGTGCGCGGACGAGAAGTGAGGAGTAGGAAGAAGAGCGGAGCGGGGAGCAGGAAGAGGAGAGAGGAGAGGGGAGCGGTGCGCGGAGATTCCGTGCCCGGAGAAGTGAGGAGCAGGGGGAAGAGCGGAACGGGCAGCGGGGACAGGAGCAGGAAAGGGTGCAGAGAAGGGTGCGCGGAGATTCAGTGCGAATGAACTAGCTACAACACGCAGCAGCAAGCGGACTCTTTCTTTGCCTTGAAAATTACGTTTTCAGACATAGGATATCGCTTTCGTGTCCTGAAAAACGTTTGACTAGCTCTTGGAAATAAAGTACGTTTTCATAATAAGCAGAAGTTACCTGTCCAGGAGTAATTTGGCGACCAATGCGTCAGTCTTTAGACCCTGCGTCTGCTTCAGTTGCGCCATCGCTGGAATGAACCTTCAAGAATCACCTTAGTTTGGCTTCGCTGCTTTTCCCCTTGTCTTCTTCTTTCAGCGACCTCAAAAACGGACTTTCTTTTGCGGCTAACTGCTCCTGGATTCTTGTCTGCCATTGCAACAAACTTTGTGCTAACTGCGAGGAAGATATAGGTAAAAAAAAGCCGCTAAGAACTGTTGCGTTGGTGGAGTAAACAGCGTCTGTGCGTCTGTGGACTGCGTGACAGAAGTACGTAAACCACGTAACGGCAGCGCGCAGGCAAGTCAGTTACGCTAGAAACGTAGGGAGATTGATTGACAGCCTGTCAGCTAACAGATAACGAGGCAGTGTTGTTATCTATTAGCAAATGTTTAGCCCCACCACGTCCAGAGTTGATGAATTTTTATTCTCTTTTTTTTGGTCATCATAATTACAAGGCTACTGCACCTCTATAATGCTATCATTGACAACTTGAAACAAAAACAATCCTCCATACAACCTTTAATACAATCTGACCAGAAAGATCTGACTTGGATGGAATGATAACAGCTGAGATGGCAAAGGAGAAATTCAATTTGTCAACTGGACAAAGTTTATTTCGTCGAATACGTTTTGCAGCTCATCCAAGCTGCTTCTTCAGTTCTGGTCAGAATGCTGGTAGATACTTCCTTATATCTGCCTGCAGGGAGGAGCTAATTACAAAGAAACTACTCTGAAACGAACACTTGTTTACAGTTTCTGTTAGTTAATCAGTTCATTTCAATAGGCCTAACTAACAGAAACTGTACAAAGAAACTACTCTGAAACTAACACTCCTTCTTGTTTAATTAGCTTCAGCATTTTCACCAGAACTGAAGACGCAGCTTGAATTTGAATTTCTCCTTTGCCAGGGATTCTACCTGGACGAGTGAGGGATTTTTCACAACAGTTGAGCTGGTTTGCCCTGTTTAACAAGTCCCTCTCAAATAAGAGCTACCTACCATTAGCAGGCAGCTTGTTAGCAGATAACAGCTTTTCAGTTTGTCACTCTCACCTTTTTGTTGAAAATCAAACACCTAAACAGGACCAAGATCACAGGCTCCTGAAAATGTGTTGCTCAAATCCATTTTGTGTTCTTGTCTGGATTTTCAGACTATCTTAAAAAATGTTTTGCCTGTATTTGCCAATATGTGCATTGTGTCATAACTGATGAACATTTCGCCAGTAGAGGTGCATATAGAACACCCCCAGTGTGATGTCATTGAAAGTATCAATTACCACTGTACAGGAGTCATTTTGATGCCTGAATTTGTGCACTGATAAATGGATAATGGTTTATGTTTTATACAGTTCTAACTGTACCTCATCACCTGGCTCT